CCTTTAATCCCGGTGCTCCTCCTGCTCCGGAGAAAATCCCCACGAGCCGCCCTCACCCTCCCGTAGCTGTTCGGGATTCCTGCCGGGCATTCCCGGAGCAGCAGCCTCGGGAGCTGCAGGGTTTTTGTTCTTTTCCCCTTCCCGGTCCCGCTGCCGCCGCCAAGCCGTTAAATCCTAATTACCTTTTTAGGTGATTATCCTTTTCCTGGCGTTCCCGAGGAGTGCCGGCCCTGGGAGCCAGCCATTTTGTGTGCCGTGTGCCGTGTGCCGTGCCGAACGCGCGTTCGACGGCGGCGTCGGGATGGGCCCAGCCCAGATGGGATCGGAGCCCCCGGAGCAGGGCTGGGGCCGGGTGGCTCCGGTTGAGCTGCCAGCCCTGCGGAATCCCCACGGGATCAGCCGGGACTGATCCCAGATCCTGGGATTTAGGGGGGTTTGGGGAACGGGAGTGTGCCCAGGTGAGCTGCAGGAGTTGGGTCTCACCAGTTCCTGATCCCGGGGAAACGAGACTTTATTGGGATTTGGATGGATTTTATTCCATGATATGTGAGTGATGTCTGGGTTTGGAATGATCGGGATTGACACCAGATCCTGGGATTTAGGGGGGTTCAGGCAGTGGGAGCGTGCCCAGGTGAGTTGGATCTCACCAATTCCTGATCCTAGGAAAAGGGGACTTTAATGGGATTTGGATGGGTTTTATTCCATCATATCTGAGTGATGTCCTGGGTTTGGAGTGACCAGGATGGTGCTGGAGCACCTCGGCTCCGGGGATGGATGTCAGGGATCACGTTGGGTTTGGATTCTGGGTCTCTCCTGGACGCCGTCACCGATGTCGGGATGGGCCCAGCCCAGATGGGATCGGAGCCCCCGGAGCAGGGCCGGGGCCGGGTGGCTCCGGATGAGCTGCCAGCCCTGCGGAATCCCCACAGGATCAGCCGGGACTGATCCCAGATCCTGGGATTTAGGGGGGTTTGGGGAACGGGAGTGTGCCCAGGTGAGCTGCAGGAGTTGGGTCTCACCAGTTCCTGATCCCGGGGAAACAGGACTTTACTGGGATTTGGATGGATTTTATTCCATGATATGTGAGTGATGTCTGGGTTTGGAATGACCAGGATTGACACCAGATCCTGGGATTTAGGGGGGTTCAGGCAGTGGGAGCGTGTCCAGGTGAGTTGGATCTCACCAATTCCTGATCCTAGGAAAAGGGGACTTTAATGGGATTTGGATGGGTTTTATTCCATCATACCTGAGTGATGTCTGGGTTTGGAGTGACCAGGATGGTGCTGGAGCACCTCGGCTCCGGGGATGGATGTCAGGGATCACGTTGGGTTTGCGCCCTGATCCCGGGAAATTGGACTTTTAATGGGATTTTGATGGATTTTATTCCATCAGTCTCATACCTGAGTGATGTCTGGGTTTGGAATGACTGGGATTGATGCCAGATCCTGGGATTTAGGGGGGGTTTGGGGAACAGGAGAGTGCCCAGGTGAGTTGGATCTCACCAATTCCTGCTCCCTGATCCCGGGAAATTGGAGTTCAACGGGATTCGGATGGGTTTTATTCCATCAGTCTCATATCTGAATGTCTGAGTTTGGCACGTGGATCCCTTGTGGGAGATCAGGGATTGTTCCTGGTGGATCAAGGATCCCTCGTGGCAGATCAGGGGTCACTCCTGGTGGATCAGGGATCACTGGATCACTCCTGGTGGATCAGGGATTGTTCCTGGCAGATCAGGGATCCCTCATGGCGAATCAGGGATTGTTCCTGGGGGATCACTGGATCACTCCTGGTGGATCAGGGATTGTTCCTGGAGGATCAGGGATCACTGGATCACTCCTGGTGGATCAGGGATTGTTCCTGGAGGATCAGGGATCACTGGATCACTCCTGGTGGATGAAGGATCACTCCTGGTGGATCAAGAATTGTTCCTCGTGGATCAAGGATTGATCCTGGCGGATCAGGGACCGTTCCTGGCGCTGGATCAGGAATTACAAGCCCTCCATGATCTCTGGAGGCTCCAAGGCTGGTAATTGGGGCTGGAAGACCAGCGTGGGGATTGACCCAACGGAAAACCCTCCGAGGAGGCTGGGAAGGAGCTGGGACCTCCCTGGATAAACCCTGGCTGGAATTGACTCCTGCTGCTGCCAAGTTCTGGACTCCATCGGGTAAATCCCAGGATATTTTCATCTCTCCCTGGGTATTCCCACTTCCTCCTGGAATATTCCTTCTTCTGGCCCAACTCACTCGTTCCAGCCTTTCAAATCCTCCCGCTGAGGATTTCTTTTTTTGTGTTGGATATTTCCCCCTGTGGGCACCACATCCAACCTGCATGGAAGAGGGGGTGCAGCTTTGCTTGTCTGTGCCAAACCCGTCGTGCCGGGCCCCGCGGAGCGGGAGGAACGTGCCCGGGAGCGCGTGGTGCCCCAGCAGGGACGGCACCCACAGAGAGCTGGGCATCACCAGCAGGACCTGGCCAGCGCCCTGGCATTCCTGGAAAGCCTCCCCAGGTGGGTCCAGCCCACCCTGCTCATCCCACCCTGCGGCCCCTGCAATCTTGGCTCCCAAGACTCCACGCCGTGCATTCAGCTCCTGCTTTCCATCGGTTTTGCCACCATTTGGGAGTTTGTTTCCAGCGAGGAGGATTTTTCAGGTGGAAGCTGAAGGGAGAGGCTGTTCCCTGGGATGTGCTGATCGCCCGGGGCTGTGCCCGAGGGCAGCAGGGCCGGATGATCCGGTTTGGGATGTGCCGAGACCGGAGCCTGTCCGACCTCCAGACAGTTCCCCAGATTGGAACCGTTCCTGCTCTTTGCTGTGGATTTCTGCATGGAACCAGGAGCTCTCCCCTGGCTTTCCCAGCGCTCTGGAAATTCCCAGTGGACCCTCCCCTTCCCCCTCCAGCCACAGGGCCCCATTCAACGCCGAATCCGAAGCCTCATTTAATTTTTATTGGATCTGGCTGAGCCTGGAGAGCCTCTGGAGCGGATTAAATAGTGCTGGGCCCCATTCCCGGTAACGGCACTTGGGATTTGTTGGGACTTTGCCAGAGGGGAGGGCACTGGGAGACCACCTTGGTGATGGGGCAGGGACTGGGGGCATCTCCAGAATTCCTGCAGGATGCTTCCACCCCCTGGAGAGGACTGGGGAGATCTGCAGGATCCTGGAGGGGACAAGCAGGATGTTGGAGCAGGAGATCCCGGTTCTCCCTGGTTCATCGCATCTCCATGCTCAGTTCAGCTGTCCATGGGAGCTCCTATCCCGTGGGATGTTGCCCCTGTGGGTCTCTCCCTCTCCCTCCTGCTCTGGCCGTGCCCGTTGCTGGCACAGGGTGCAGCCGCAGCGCCGGGCGCGGCTCCGGGCGCTCCCGGGCGTCTGGAACGTCCCCGCTCCCCCCGGGGTCACTGCTGCGGGACGGGGGCGGGAGCGGCTCCCCCGGCCTGCCCCGGCTTGCCGGGCTAAATTTGGGAGACGCGCGGAGAGACGGGATCAGCAGGTAGGGAAGAGCCCCAGGTGCTCCTCGGAGGCTCCGTCCGGCGTTTTTTGGGATCGTATTTGGGATTTCCGTGGGTTTTCCCGCTGCCCTCGTGCTCCTGCTGTCAGTGGGACTGAACCCGCGCGCCAGACGTGTGGATTGTCATGCCAGGGATTTGTACCCTCTGGAAGGGTTTATCCCAGGAGTGACTCGGAGCCGGGTCCTGGCAGGTGAGGAGCAGCTCCAGGCGCTCCCCAGGACACTTTCTGTTCCCTGCAGAGCAAGGAATTCCCAAGGCAGCCACATGGAGTTCCCAGCGACTGCCCAGGTGTTTGTCCTGATTCCCAGCTGTTTGTCCTGATTCCCAGGTGTTTGTCCCGATTCCCAGGTGTTTGTCCCAATTCCCAGCTGTTTGTCCTGATTCCCAGCTGTTTGTCCTGATTCCCAGGTGTTTGTCCCGATTCCCAGCTGTTTGTCCTGATTCCCAGCTGTTTGTCCTGATTCCCCAGCTGTTTGTCCTGATTCCCAGCTGTTTGTCCTGGTCCCCAGCCCTGCTCCTCAGGGAAAGGCCTCGCCCAGCTGCTCTGCAGGTGGAGCTCCCCTGGCTCTTTGTTGTCGGAGCTGGTTCCTTATCAGCCTGGGAGCGGGGTTGGGATGGGCTCCAGGCCTGGGATGGGGTTGGGATGGGCTCCTGCCTGTTTTCCAGAGGGCATTCCTGCACCTGGAGCTGAGGTGGGAGGGCGGGGATGGACCTGCCCGAGCATTCCTGCCTGGAGGAGGCACGGTGGGGATTTCCTGGCGTTCCAGGGGGTTCATCCCAGCTCCCCTTCTTTGCTGGGCCCCATCCATGGGGTTCAGTCCCAAAGGAGGGATTGTGGTGCCATTCTCAGGGACTGCAGGGGCTTCAGAGGGGCAAACTCCTGACCTGGATGGGGACTGGGGAGGTTGGAGCTCTGCGAGGAGGTCAGAGCTCTCCAAGGCATTGGAGCTCCATGAGGAGATTGGAGCTCTCCATGGGGTTGCAGCTCCATGAGGAGATTGGAGCTCTCCATGGGGTTGGAGCTCTCCAAGGGGTTGGAGCTCTCCAAGAGGTCGGAGCTCTGTGAGATTGGAGCTCTGTGAGGAGATTGGAGCTCCACGAGGAGATCAGAGCTCTCCAAGAGGTCCGAGCTCTGTGAGATTGGAGCTCTGTGAGGAGATTGGAGCTCCACGAGGAGATCAGAGCTCTCCAAGAAGTCGGAGCTCTGTGAGATTGGAGCTCTGTGAGGAGATCGGAGCTCCACGAGGAGATCAGAGCTCTCCAAGGGGTCAGAGCTCTGTGAGATTGGAGCTCTGTGAGGAGATTGGAGCTCCACGAGGAGATCAGAGCTCTCCAAGGGGTCGGAGCTCTGTGAGATTGGAGCTCTCCCATATGTTGGAGCTCCATGAGGAGTTCAGAGCTCTCTGAGGAACCCAAGCTGAGCTCGGGGGGGATCCTGGGGGGGTTCCCTGGCACCCTTGTCACCGACCTGACCCTGTCCCTGTCCCTCAGGATGGACCGCATGACGGAGGACGCGCTGCGCCTGAACCTGCTCAAGCGGAGCCTGGAGCCGGCCGAGGAGCGCGAGGACGTGCTGGCCAAGAGGCTGAAGATGGAGGGCCACGAGGCCATGGAGAGGCTGAAGATGCTGGCGCTGCTCAAGCGCAAGGACCTGGCGGGGCTGGAGGTGCCCCACGAGCTGCCCGTGAAGCCGGACGGGATCAAGGGCTACGAGGAGAAGCTCAACGGGAGCCTGAGGCCCCACGGCGACGGGCGCGGCGCCGCCCGGCCGGGCAAGGAGAACATCAACGACGAGCCCGTGGACATGAGCGCCAGGAGGAGGTGGGTGCTGGCAATTCCGGGCTGGGGGTGAAATGGGGTTTGGGGGGTCCTGGAGAGCCCCTTGTGGTGACGCCGAGAGCTGGGGATGGTGGGATGAGGGGGAATGGCTTCCATGGACAGAGGGCGGGTGGGATGGGAAGGTGGCACAGGTTATCCAGGGATTTGTGGATTCCTCGTCCCTGGAAGTGTCTGGGGCCAGGCTGGAGCAGCCTGGGATGGTGGGAGGTGTCCCTGGAGGGTCCTGCTCGGAGTGAGGAGCTGCATCCTCAGTGGAATTCCTTGGATATTGTGCAATGTGAGGGTTCCGGTGGGACACCAGCGTCACACACGCACGCTTGGATGGACACAGGAAATCAGCCCTGGGAATGCTGGGAATGCTCCACTCTGAGTTGAGAACTGAGGCTAGGAATGTCTCGTTTTCCTGGATTTTCCCTGGGAATGCTGGACTCTGAGTTGAGAACTGAGGCTGGGAATGTCTCGTTTTCCTGGATTTTCCCTGGGAATGCTCCACTCTGAGTTGAGAACTGAGGCTGGGAATGTCTCGTTTTCCTGGATTTTCCCTGGGAATGTGCTCCACCTCTCCTCACCTCTGCCTCCCTGGCCCTGGCTCCTGTCCAGTGATTCTGTTGGAATTCTGCTCTCCCCTGCACAAAGGAAACCCAACAATTGGTGATTCCTCATGGATGGATCCGTTTTCCCTCTTGGATTTGGACTCTGGCTCTGCCTTGTTCCCCTGGTGGAATGTCAGTGATCCAGCCTGGATTTATTGGGATGCTCCTCAAAACGATCCCCAGGAGCTGCAGGAAGGACAGCCCTGACCCAGGACAGTCCCACCCAGATTGGAGCTCCTGGCACTCAGCCTGCTCTGCCTCTGCCTCCTCCTCCTTGGGATGCTCTGGGATTTCTCTGCTGGAGCCAGGACAGCTCCATGCCCCGGCGCTTTGGAATATCCACAAAAGCAGCTGCAATGTTTGGGAGCAATCCCAGCTCTGAGCATCTCCCCAGCCCTGGAGCAGCCAAACCTGGGAGCTGGGATTGGCTCTGGGTGCTCAAAGTTTGGGATGAGAAATTCCACGGTGTCCCCTCACTGCAGGGACCTTCCAAGGGGCTGGAATCACCTCCACAATGGATTATCCCACACTTTTCCAAGGCTCTCCAGATGAAATCCAGGCTCTCAAAGGGCTTTCCTTGGACTCTCCTTGCCTGGATGGTCCCACCTGGATCCTGCTGGACTCCACCACTGATTTTGGGTTTATTTCTTTGCCCTGCTGCTCCTTTGGTTTCCCAATCCCATCATGGATCAGTTGGATATTCATGCAGGTTTTCCTTCATGGAATGAGCTTTTCCAATAGATTTGGGTTGGGATAGGCTTGGAGTGGTGCTGTTGATGTGGGGCGCTCAGCCCCTTCTCCACCACAGTGAGGATTCCAGGCTGGAGTATCCCTGGAGTATCCCTGGAGTATCCCTGCAGCCCTGGAGAGGGAGGGAGTGCATTTGAGGGAGTCCTTCCCTCCTGGTGTCCACGGGAGCTGCACTGCTCTGGATCCGTGCTGGAATGAGGGGGATCCTGCTCCCAAAATCCCACATTGCTGGTTCTGTGGGGCTCCCCAAATTCCTGCCTTACTGGGGCTCTCAAATCCCAAATTCTGCCTCACTGGGGCTCCCCAAATCCCAAATTCTGCCTCACTGGGGCTCCCAAATCCCAAATTCTGCCTCACTACGCCTCCCCCAATCCCCAGTTCTGCCTCGGTGGGGTTCCCAATTCCTGCCTGACTGGTCCCTGTCCCCCACAGTGACCAGGAGCGGGGCAGGCTGACCCCCTCCCCGGACATCATCGTCCTGTCGGACAACGAGGCCTCCAGCCCCCGCTCCAGCTCCCGCATGGAGGAGCGGCTCAAGGCGGCCAACCTGGAGATGTTCAAGGTGAGGGGACGGGAATCCCGTCCTGGAACGGCACGGGATGGGGGGTGAAGGGTTTGGGGAGGGATGAAATGTTTGGAGCATTGGGGAGAGATGAAATGTTTGGGGCATTGGGGGAGGATGAAGCATTTGAGGAGGGATGAAGCATTTTGGGGCATTGAGGAGGGATGAAACATTTGGGGAGGGATGAAACATTTGAGGAAGGATGAAGCATTTGGGGAACTGGGGTGGGATGAAGCATTTGGGGAACTGGGGTGGGATGAAGCATTTGGGGCATTGGGGGGAGGATGAAGCATTTGGGGCATTGGGGAGGATGAAGCATTTGGGGCATTGGGGGAGGATGAAGCATTTGGGGCATTGGGGGAGGATGAAGCATTTGGGGGAGGATGAAGCATTTGGGGCATTGGGGGGAGGATGAAGCATTTGGGGCATTGGGGGAGGATGAAGCATTTGGGGCATTGGGGGAGGATGAAGCATTTGGGGGAGGATGAAGCATTTGGGGAGGGATGAAGCATTTGGGGCATTGAGGGATGAAGCATTTGGGGAGGGATTGAAGCATTTTGGGGCATTGGGATGGGTTGAAGCTTTTGGGACATTGGGGAGGGATGAAGCATTTGGGGTGTTGGGGAGGGATGAAGTGTTTGGGGCACTGGGGGGGGGATGAAGCATTTGGGAAGGGATGAAGCGTTTGGGGCCCTGAGGATGAAGCGTTTGGGGAGGGATGAAGCATTTGGGGTATTGTGGGAGGATGAAGCATTTGGGGCATTTCTCAGCCAGTTCCAGGTGCAGCCCCCCTGTTCTCACACCTGTGGTCCCAATTCCCACTTGGATTCACCTTTCCCCTTTCCCTTGCTCACGTCCTGCTGGGTTTCTGGGTTTTCCAGGGGAAGAGCCTGGAGGAGAGGCAGCAGCTGATCAAGCAGCTCCGGGACGAGCTGCGGCTGGAGGAGGCCCGGCTGGTGCTCCTCAAGAAGCTGCGGCAGAGCCAGCTCCAGAAGGAGAACGTGGTGCAGAAGGTGAGGGCTGGGCATGGCTGGGATAAGGGGTGCCCACAGAGCCCCCACCCACCTGTGGGACTCCCTAAATCCCCTCCTGGGAATGCAAATCCCATCCTTGGTGCCCCCCAGACCCCCGTTGTCCAGAACGCCGCGTCCATCGTGCAGCCGTCGCCCGCCCACGTGGGACAGCAGGGCCTGTCCAAGATCCCCTCCCGGCCCGGGGCTCAGGGCGTGGAGCCGCAGAATTTAAGGACATTACAGGTGAGAATTCCTGGGTTTTGCTGGAAAATGCTGATTTTGGCGGGTGCACACTGAGCTGAGGGGGTTTTTCCTTCAATTCCCGGTGCTTGGCGTTGGGTTTGGGGTTGTCAGGAATTAGGATTCAGTGGTCCTTGTGGAGATGGATATTACATGATTTTCTGAATGTCCAGTGTCCCAGGGTGGGGTGAGCATGGTGGGAATTCTCCAATTCTGCAGCCTCCCTGCTGCTCCCAGGGGAGAAATGTTTGCTCCATGGATTTCTGCTCTCCTTGACCATGGGGAAAAGGTCCACAGTCCTCAAAAATCCACGAGAGTTTGGGGAAAAATGAGGGGTTTGGGGCCTGCCGTGGGAAACAGGGATGTGCCAGCTTGAGGTGGGGGAAAGGGCCACAATCCTGTAAAATCCAGGAGAGTTTGGGGAAAAATGAGGGATTTGGGGCCTCCCATGGGAAATAGGGATGTGCCAGCTTGAGGTGGGGGAAAGGGCCACAATCCTGTAAAATCCAGGAGAATTTGGGGAAAACGAGAGATTTGGGGCATTAGAGATTAGTGGGATTCTGGATAAGCAGGAACTCCAAGGATCAGCGAATCAATGCTCCAAGTTTCCCTCATTTTTCTCTGATTTTATTACCAAACTTCGGGGGGATGTTTGGGGTTACCCTGAGCTTGTTCCTGTGGTTTAACCCCCGATTCCTCCTGGATCCCCCCAGGGCCACAGCGTGATCCGCTCGGCCGCCAGCTCAGCCCTGCCCCACATGCTGATGTCCCAGCGCGTCATCGCCCCCAGCCCCGCGCAGCTCCAGGGCCAGCGCGGGCCCCAGAAACCCGGCCTGGTGCGCAGCTCCACGCCCGGCATGAGCCCCGCCATCAACTACCAGCCGGTGGGTCGCTGGTCTGGGGACTGATTTGTACTGGTCTGCGCTGGTTTGGGCTGGATTTCACTGGTTTGGGCTGGTCTGCACTGGTTTGGGCTGGTTGGGCACTGGTTTGGGCTACCTGGGTACTGCTTTGGGCTGCCTGGACACTGGTTGGTGCCAGTTTGCACTCAGTTTTTACCGGTTTGTACCGGTTTGGCAGTAGTTGGGGCTGGTTGAGCACTGGTTTGGGCACTGGTTTGTACCAGTTTGCACCGGTTTGTACCAGTTTGCACGACCCCCATCCCCACTCACCCTCCCCTCCATAATTCCCAGGACTCCCCAGCCCTTGTGTCCACCCTCTCCTGGTGCTCCAGGGGTCTGTGAGCCTGGCATTCCCAGCAATCCTAAATCCCCACCTGATTCCAAATCCCCCACTGTGATTCAGAATCCCCCACCGTGATCCCAAATCCCCACCCGATCTCAAACCCCCCTGTGGCCCCAAATCCCCACCTGACCCCAAATTTCCACCTGACCCCATACCTCTGCCCCGCAGCAATCGGGCTCGTCGGTGCCGTGCCATTGCTCATCCTCCTCGACCATCTACATGAACCTCACATCCCAAATCCTGACCCTGACCCCAAATTCCCCCCATGATCCCAAATCTCCACCTTGATCCCAAATCCCCATCTGACACAAAATTCGCGCCCTGATCCTGAATTCCCCACCGTGATCCCAAATCTCCGCCATGACCCCAAATCCCCACCTGACCCCAAATCTCCCCCACAGCAATCGGGCTCGTCGGTGCCGTGCCAGCGCTCGTCCTCCTCCGCCATCTACATGAACCTCGCGTCGCACATGCAGCCGGGCTCGGTGGCCCGCGTGTCGTCCCCGCTCCCCAGCCCCAGCGCGCTCTCGGACGCCGCCAACTCTCAGGCCGCGGCCAAGCTGGCGCTGCGCAAGCAGCTGGAGAAGACGCTGCTGGAGATCCCTCCCCCGAAGCCGCCGGCGCCGCTGCTGCACTTCCTGCCCAGCGCCGCCAACAGCGAGTTCATCTACATGGTGGGGCTGGAGGAGGTGGTGCAGAGCGTCATCGACAGCCAAGGTGAGCCAGGGGACATCCCAAAGGGGATTTGACGCATAATTTGGGGCGTTTCGGGGTGAAATCGTGGGGTTTAGGGCTTGGAAAGGTGGTGGGTGCTTGTAGAAGGTGGTGGTGGGGGTTGGGGAAAGTTGAAAGTTTGGGGTGGGTTTTTGAAGGTTGTTAAGGGGTTTGCAGGGTTGCAGATTGAGTTTGTGGGATTTTAGATGAAATTTTTCAGGATTTTGGATGATTCGCGGGGTTTTGGCCAATTCGTGGGGTTTTGGCCAAAAATTTCAATATTTCTGCCCAGTTTTTTGTGATCTCAGTCAGGATTTTAGCCCAAAATGTTGGGTTCTGGCTGGGTGCAGGACAGTTCTCAGGATTTTGGCTGATTCACAAGATTTCATCCACTTCACATTATTTCAGCCAAAACTTGCACTATTCCCACTCAGTTTTGTGGCGATTTCAGTGAGGATTTTCAGTCTTTCACCCCAGAACATTGTGTTCTGTCTGGGTGCAGAATTTTTGGCCAGTTCTCAGGATTTTTGTCCAATTCACAAGATTTCATCCAATTCACATGATTTCAGCCAAAATCTTCACTATTCCTGCCCAGTTTTTTGGTGATTTCAGTCGGGATTTTCAGGATTTCACCCCAGAACATTGTGTTCTGTCTGAGTGCAGAATTTTTGGCCAATTCTCAGGATTTTTGTCCAATTCACATGATTTCAGCCAAAAATTTCACTATTCCCACCCAGTATTTTATGATTTCAGTCGGGATTTTCAGGCTTTCAGCGCGAAACGTTGAGTTCTGTCTGGATGTAGGATTTTTGGCCGATTCTCAGGATTCCGTCAAATTCGCGGGATTTTGGCCAAACATTTCACTATTCCCGCCCAGTTTTTTGGTGATTTCAGTGGAGATTTTCAGGGTTTTAGCCCGAAACGCTGCATCCCGTGCGGGTGCTGAGCCGGGTGTGTTCCAGGGAAGAGCGCCCCGGCGGTGCCGCGCGTGGAGCCGTTCGTGTGCGCGCAGTGCCGCACGGACTTCACGCCGCACTGGAAGCAGGAGAAGGGCGGGCGCATCCTGTGCGAGCAGTGCCAGACCTCCAACCAGAAGAAGGCGCTCAAGGCCGAGCACACGAATCGCCTCAAGAACGCCTTCGTCAAGGCCCTGCAGCAGGAGCAGGTGGGGATTGCTGGGAATGCCCCTTTGCCATGGCTCATCCCATCCCAAAGCATCCCAAAGCATCCCAAACAACCCTGTCCCATCCCATTGTTCCTATTGATCCCATCCCATTGTTCCCATTGATCCCATCCCATTGTTCCCATCCTATTGTTCCCATTGTTCCCATCCCATTGTTCCTATTGTTCCCATCCCATTGTTCCCATTGATCCCATCTCATTGTTCCTATTGATCCCATCCCATTGTTCCCATTGGTCCCATCCAATCAATCCCATTGATCCCATCCCATTGTTCCCATCCTATTGTTCCCATTGATCCCATCCCATTGTTCCCACTGATCCCACCCCATTGATCCCATCCCATTGATTCCACCCCATTGTTCCCATTTATTCCATCCCACTGCTCTCATTGATCCCACCCCATTGTTCCCATCAGTCTCATCCCATTCTTGCCATTGATCCCATTCCATTGATCCTATTGATTCCATCCCATTGTTCCCATTAATCTCACTCCATTTGTTCCATCCCATTGGATGTGGGATATGTGGGATCATTGTTCCCATTGATCCCACCCCATTGATCTCACCCCATTGTTCCCATTGATCCCATCCTATTGATCCTATAGATTCCATCCCATTGTTCCCATTGATCTCATCCCATTGATCCCACTGTTCCCATCCCATTGATCCCGTTCCACTCATCCCATCCCAGCCAGGTTGGCATTCCTGAGGAATTGTTCAGGATGGCATTCCCAGGGGTGTCATTCCCATGGCTGTCTGTCATTGCCATGTCTGTCTGTCTGTCTGTCTGTTCCCAGGAGATCGAGCAGCGGCTGCAGCAGCAGGCTGCCCTGTCCCATGGCTGTCTGTCACTCCCATGTCTGTCTGTCTGTCTGTCCCCAGGAGATCGAGCAGCGGCTGCAGCAGCAGGCTGCCCTGTCCCATGGCTGTCACTCCCATGTCTGTCTGTCTGTCTGTCCCACAGGAGATCGAGCAGCGGCTGCAGCAGCAGGCTGCCCTGTCCCATGGCTGTCACTCCCATGTCTGTCTGTCTGTCTGTCCCACAGGAGATCGAGCAGCGGCTGCAGCAGCAGGCTGCCCTGTCCCATGGCTGTCTGTCCCATGTCTGTCTGTCTGTCTGTCCCCAGGAGATCGAGCAGCGGCTGCAGCAGCAGGCTGCCCTGTCCCATGGCTGTCTGTCCCATGTCTGTCTGTCTGTCTGTCCCCAGGAGATTGAGCAGCGGCTGCAGCAGCAGGCTGCCCTGTCCCATGGCTGTCTGTCCCATGTCTGTCTGTCTGTCTGTCCCACAGGAGATCGAGCAGCGGCTGCAGCAGCAGGCTGCCCTGTCCCATGGCTGTCTGTCCCATGTCTGTCTGTCTGTCTGTCCCACAGGAGATCGAGCAGCGGCTGCAGCAGCAGGCTGCCCTGTCCCATGGCTGTCTGTCACTCCCATGTCTGTCTGTCTGTCTGTCCCCAGGAGATCGAGCAGCGGCTGCAGCAGCAGGCTGCCCTGTCCCATGGCTGTCTGTCACTCCCATGTCTGTCTGTCTGTCTGTCCCCAGGAGATCGAGCAGCGGCTGCAGCAGCAGGCTGCCCTGTCCCATGGCTGTCTGTCCCATGTCTGTCTGTCTGTCTGTTCCCAGGAGATCGAGCAGCGGCTGCAGCAGCAGGCTGCCCTGTCCCCCACGGCCGCGCCCGCCGTGCCCAGCGTGGGCAAACAGGACGGGATCCTGCGGCACCACACGCTCCGGCAGGTGGGACACGGGGCGTGGGATCAGGGGGTGGGATTGTGGGATGGGATCGTGGGGTCTTGGGATCATGGGGTGATGAGATGGGATAATGGGATGGGATTAGTGGGGTAATGGATGGGATCATGGAGTAATGGGATGGGATCATGGGATGGGATCGTGGGATGAGATAATGGGGTGGGATCATGGGGGTGGGACTGTGAGATAATGGGATGGGATCATGGGGTAATGGGGTCATGGAGTAATGGGATCGTGGGATCCTGGGATAATGGGATTGTGGGATCATGGAACAATGAGGTCATGGGGTAATGGGATGGGATTAATGGGGTGGGATCATGGGGTGATGGAGTCATGGGGTGGGATTAATGGGGTAGGATCGTGGGATCATGGCATGGGATCATGAGATGATGGGATCATGGGGTGGGATTGTGGGATGGGACCATGGGATCATGGGGTAATGGGATCATGGGATAATGAGATGGGATTGTGGGATAATAGGATTAATGGGGATGGGATGGGTTTACGGGGATGGGACCATGGGGATGGGACGGGATGTGTGCATTGGGATGGGGCAGGATGTGCCCATCAGGATGGGTGCAATGGCCGCCCGTTCTCCCCGTGCCCACACTCCCAACCCGGTGTCCGTGTGTCCGTGTGTCCGTGTGTCCGTGTGTGCAGGCCCCGCAGCCCCAGAGCAGCCTCCAGCGCGGCATCCCCACCTCCGCCCGCTCCATGCTCTCCAACTTCGCCCAGGCCCCGCAGCTCTCCGTGGCCGGGGGGCTCCTGGGGATGCCAGGTACGGCGGGAACGGGGCGGGAACGGGATGGGATGGGAACGATGGGATGGGATGGGATGGGATGGGATGGGATGGGATGGGAACGATGGGATGGGATGGGTGGGGTGGGATGGGATGGGATGGGATGGGATGGGAACGATGGGATGGGATGGGTGGGGTGGGATGGGATGGGGTGGGATGGGATGGGAACGATGGGATGGGATGGGTGGGGTGGGATGGGATGGGATGGGTGGGGTGGGATGGGATGGGGTGGGATGGGATGGGATGGGATGGGTGGGGTGAGATGGGATGGGATGGGATGGGAACGATGGGATGGGATGGGAACGATGGGATGGGATGGGTGGGGTGGGATGGGATGGGATGGGATGGGTGGGGTGGGATGGGATGGGGTGGGATGGGATGGGATGGGATGGGTGGGGTGAGATGGGATGGGATGGGATGGGAACGATGGGATGGGATGGGATGGGATGGGTGGGATGGGATGGGATGGGAACGATGGGATGGGATGGGTGGGGTGAGATGGGATGGGATGGGATGGGATGGGATGGGAACGATGGGATGGGGTGGGATGGGATGGGATGGGATGGGATGGGTGGGGTGGGATGGGATGGGATGGGATGGGTGGGGTGGGATGGGATGGGGTGGGATGGGATGGGATGGGATGGGATGGGATGGGTGGGATGGGATGGGATGGGAACGATGGGATGGGATGGGATGGGATGGGATGGGATGGGATGGGATGGGATGGGATGGGTGGGGTGAGATGGGATGGGATGGGATGGGATGGGAACGATGGGATGGGATGTGCTGGGATGGGATGGGTGGGGTGGGATGGGATGGGATGGGATGGGGTGGGATGGGATAGATGGGGTGGGATGGGATGGGTGGGGTGGGGTGGGATGATATGGGATGGGATGGGATCAGCAGTGTGGGACACACCCATTGGGTTTTGGGGCAGAATTTGGCAATTCCCACCCTGTGCCAGCTCCATCCTGGCCCTTCCTGCCTCGTGGGGTTTTCAGGGTGGCTGTGGGGCTGTGTGATCCATGGGATCCAGGGGGTCTATGGGATTCCTGGGATCCATGCAGTGCTGGAGGATCCATGGGATCTGTAGGATCCATGGAATCTGTAGGATCCATGGGCTCAGTGTGCTCAGTGTGGTTTCTGTGGGCTCTGTAGGATCAGTGGGCTCTGTGGGATCAGTGGGATCCCTGGGCTCATTGTGCTCAGCATGGTTTCCGTGGGCTCTGTAGGATGTGTAGGATCAGTGGGCTCTGTGGGCTCTGTGGGATCCCCGTTCTCAGCATGGTTTCCGTGGGCTCTGTAGGATCTGTAGGATCCCTGTGCTCTGTGGGATCCCCGTGCTCATTGTGTGCTCATTGTGCTTTCCGTGCCGTCCCCAGGGGTGAACATCGCGTACCTGAACGCCGGCATCGGGGGCCACAAAGCGTCGAGCCTGGCGGACCGGCAGCGGGAATACCTGCTGGACATGATCCCGCCGCGCTCCATATCGCAGTCCATCAGCGGGCAGAAATAGCCCCGGATCCCCACAGCCCCGGCCGGGCCGGGCCGGGCCGAGCCGGGCTGAACCGGGCCGGGCTGAGCCGGGCCGGGCTGAACCGGGCTGGGCTGAGCCGGGCTGAACCGGGCTGGGCTGAGCCGGGCTGAACCGGGCCAGGCTGAGCTGGGCTGGGCTGAACCGGGCTGAGCTGGGCCGGGCTGAACCGGGCTGGGCTGAGCCGGGCTGAACCGGGCTGGGCTGAGCCAGGCTGAGCTGGGCTGAACTGGGCCAGGCTGAACTGGGCTGAGCCGGGCTGAACCAGGCTGACCTGAACCAGGCTGAACCGGGCTGAGCCAGGCTGAGCCAGGCTGACCTGAACCAGGCCGGGCGCCGCCGCTCCCTCCCGGGGACAACACAACAGATCAGACCGAGAACCCCAGAGAAACAAACAGCAAAAACAAAACACAAACAGCGACCCGGACACCAGAAACATTTCAGAGGCGCCTGCCCCCGGTGCTCCCAGCCCGAGCTCCCCTCGGTTCCCCGGCCGGAGCAGCCCCGGCCCCGCGCTCGTTTTGTAACGCCGCCGCTTCCCCCTTGTGTTGTGGGTTTGTTTTTTGCCCCTTTTTTCCTTATTTTCGCCCCCCTCCCTTGGCTCCATGGATGGTTAAAGCTTTTTTCTCCCTTTTTCCAGAGACTTTGGCAAGGGCACCTTCCCCATTTCCCCGCGGGGAGATTTCGGGGGGCGGCCTGTGCTGGTTTGGGGGGGATGCTCTGATCCCATAGAGGGGGGGGACAAATCCCTGTTGGATGTGATCCCAGGGTGTCACCTCCCCTGTCCCCAGTCCCAAGGGTGTCACCTCCCCCTGTCCCCACTCTGGGGTGTCACTCCCCAGAGGACCCCAACCCCAATCCCTCGGCTCCAGCCCCGATCCCGATGTCCCCAGGGGTGACAACGCTGCCAGAGCCACCCCAGGAACCCCTCGGGGGTCCCTCAATGTCCCCTCGAGGTGACCAGACCCCCCCCCCCCCCCCGGGGGTGTCCCCTCTGTCCCCACGTTGGGGACGCGGCGGCTCCGGAGCGGACGGCGCGGCCAGGGCGGGTGAGTGACCCCACATCTGTCCCCACGTCTGTCCCCACGTCTGTCCCCGCGTCTGTCCCCAAGCCCTGCATGCTCCAGAGCCGCTCTCACCCCTCCCTGGCCCCTCTGTCACCCGGGGGTGGCACCGGGGTCACCAATGGCTCCTGTGTCACCAATGTGTCCCCCCAGGGACAGCGAGGGGGTCCCCGTGTGCCACCCTGGGGTCCCTCTGTGCCACCCTGGGGTCCCTCTGTGCCACCCTGGGGTCCCTGTGTGCCACCCCGGGGGTGACAGGGCTGGCCCCAATAGCGGGGAGGGGTCTCTGGTGTCCCCTGTCCCCGGGGTGGCCCTGGGGGTGTCGGGGAGAGCCCAAAGCGAGGAAGGAGCCGCGAGGAAAATCTCGATTTGCACTTGAGCCCTGCCGAGCTCCCCCGGCCCGAGTTCTCGTGGGTTTGGTGAATTTTGGTCACAATTCCCCTTTGTCCCTGACTCTGAGCCTCTCCCGCTCCTCTCGTGCAATTGCCCCAATTGGGGGGGTCCCAAATCCCCCAAAATCCACCCAAAATCCCCCCAAACCTGGGGGACCCCGACCCCAAAACCAGGGGGGGTCCCAACCCCTGATTTAAAGGGAGGGGACCCCCCCCCCCCAATAAATTTTAGGGGGGACCCCACCCCACCCTGAATTAGAGGAGGGGTCTCCCCCCTTCCAGCCCCCTCCCCACATTCAATGAGCACTTACCTGGGGGGGGTTGGACCCCCCAAAATCCCCCCCCGGGACCCCCCAGAGGCAAAGGAAAAATGGGGTTTATTCTGATTTTTGGGGGGGTTTTAATGGGGTTTTATATTCAGAATTTTGGGGTGTTTCTGTTGGCTTTGATCATTTCCAGCTGCTCCCCCCCCATTTTTCCATTTTTTTCTTTTCCCGTTTTCCTCCAATTTTCCAATTCCCTGCCCAGATTTCTCACCCCGGGAGCACTTTGACAAATGGGGTTTTTGGGGCTAAAACCTGAATTTTTGGGTTATTTTAGGGATTTCTGTTACTTTTTTAAGGGGGGGAGGTCATTCCCTCTCCACCCCCCAAGTGCCACTGCCCCCCCCACCCAGGGCTGAGAAAAACAAATTTAAAAAACCCTAAAAAAAGGGATTTTCACCCGTAAAAATGGTGAAAACCTGGAAAAAAATCCCAAACCCAAGTGCAATAGGGGGGGGGGGGGGTCCCAACTCTTGGTGCTATAAATGAAATTTGGGGGGGGGGACAGCCCTGTCACCCCCCCTCGGGGGTCTCAGCCCTGGGGGCTGCGGGCAGTTCCCCCT